TTACGCAGTTGTGTCCTTTCTCCGTTGGATCTCGAGCAAGCCAGTCATGCATTTCGTATTGGTTTCCTTTAAATCGGGTATCCCAAAGACACAAGAAACACATGTTTGATCAGTGTAGCAAACTTTACCCAAAATTATTTTCATGGAATCGTATGTTTCGCTCATGTCTGTGCTGTAGCCAATGGGAATGCTTGGTTTTTTATTATATTTATGTAGCAAAACGACTTTCAGGCTTGATTTCGAAGAATCGATGAACATTCGCCAATCAGCTGCGACATAATTAATGGCCATCGCCTCCATCAGTTCCTTTATATCGTGGCAGTAAACAAATGTGTTCCCTTCGTTGAGTGTGTAGTACCGTTGGAATAGCAATTGTCGTCTTCGATATCCGGTGACTTTGACATTAGGCTCCAAATTGTTGCCTTCTTTCAAAAGCTGGGCAAGTTTTTCTGCTTCACATTGAGAAAGGTTTAATTCTGCAACAATCTTTTCCATTCTTGCTTGTGATATTGGAATTATTTTGTTCGATGGGCCGGCTTCTGGTGTTGGTTTATAGGTGAAATCCGATTGATCCATTGTTTCAATAGAAAAAGAAGTTTCTCTGTCAGGACTTGGAAGCGGTGGAATTGGTATTTCATCCGAATGCGGTAGAGGTATTTGTGCACTTTTAACAGATATGTAAACTCTTCGTTTAGGGCCTTTACGATTTACTCCACATATTTTGTTTGCGCAAGCGTAACAGTTGTCGGAATTGTGCTCTCCTGGATCAGTCCAAATCATTGGTACATCAAAACGAAGTGAACTGCGTTTCCCTTGGATCCACATGTTGAGACCATTGTAGCACGTTTTACAAATTTTGTCTGGGACCCACGAAACGCCGCGAATTATTTCGGAATCAAAATAAAGTTTAAAAGCGCGCTCCACATGCTCAGCGAGTAATGCAGTATTTGTTGTAAAAGCTCTCTTGCCACAAACGTAAAAAAATAAATTGATATTTTCTGGACAATTTGCACTAATTTCGGTTTTATACTTTTATTACTTTTTCGTCACTTTAAAAAAATCGTACTTTACGCGTTCAGAGACACTTGTTGAATGAGAAAAATCGATCAATGAAAACTAGGGCTGTGCGATTAATTGATTACTCAAAATTTTAATTAATCATAAAGTGAATAACTCAATTATTCGATTAATTGGAAATAATGATTACTCAAAAGTTCAGTTACTCGAGTAATCAAGATTTTTGATTAACCAAAAACAAAAATATTTGAGTAATTTGCTTTATGATTAATCAACATTTCGAGTAAAATGAGTAATCAACATTTCAACTCTTTACATATGTATAAAGTAGTTAAAGTTCCTTGACACTTTGAAAACAACGTTTTTGTTTTCAAAAATTAAAACGAAAAATTTTTTCATATACAGAATGTAAAAGAAAATAAGCTTTTTCCAAAGTAAACTCTTTTAACGAGCAAAATTATTTTTTTGAGTAATCATATTTCAAGTAACTCGATTAATCATCGTTTTGAGTAATCAAAATCATGATTACTCGAGTAATTGATTAACCGAATAATTGATTAACCAACTTGCTCGAGTAATCGAATAATCGCACAGCCCTAATGAAAACCTATAAATACTACGTAAGTTTCAATATTTTACTGAGAGGTACTTATGAATTGGCGCATCTTTTAAGGGTGGCTATATACCTGATTCATGTGCGTTTTAAATTTTTCGAAACGTTCTAAAACATGACCACTCATAAATGTGGGTGCAATTTGTGTAAAAAAATCATGCAGGTAGCCAACGGAAAAAACCCAAATAATTAAAAAAGTGCACTTTCCTTTTTTCCTTTTAATTGTCCACGCACATTTATGACCGTTTTTTAGTCTGTTACCGCTATCATAAAAATCAAATAACCTTTTGTTTATTACTTTTTTTTTAATTCTGACAACCATAAAAAAAGTCATCAATGTTTTTTCCAAGGAATTTTGAGCATATCTCGAGCAAATTTTTGAAATTCATACCTTTACTTAATTTTGAATAAAAGCGAAACGCATACATTGATTTTCATGATGTATGTCTCATTTTGTTCACAGGTTATGTGACTTTACGTGACACTTTTTTCCGTTTTGGATTTTTTATGAATTAAAAAAAAAAAATTTTAATTTTTAGGCAAAAATAATTTTTTTTTCTTCATACATTTATTTTTACCGGCATAACTGTTGAGTATATAGAAAAACGTTATATTAACAGATTAAAGGAATTGTAATTTTTAATTTTTTTAAATTTGTTTGAGCAAAATCGGACTAGTGGTTCTCGAGTTATGTCAAAAAAAAGACCACCAAAGGTGACAATTTCCCCTATATGATAGTTACTAACTTCAAATCGATATATCTCGTTTCCTAGACGTGACCCAGCGAAACGCCGGGCCACGTATAACTTGTTTTTGACCGATATAACATTTCCCGTTGGTTTCATCCCATCCCGATTTTGACTGTCGCATAGTGTAATCAATTTTCCAAGGCTTATGTGGAAAAAACGGTGGCAAAGGATTTAGTGACCACTGTATTGATTGGTAACACACGTGTTCACAAAAGTAATCTTAGGTGACATATTTCCTTCCAGGTTACTGATATTCTACCGCGGCACAGTGGAGCTGCTAGACTATTCATATTCTAATTTTATACCGATAACTGACGGACTGGTTGCTACCTTTACGGGATACGACTACCTAACCCATCAAACGAACCTAACCGTATTCGTAAAAATTGTCGAAGAAACAAACAACTACGGTGAGATTTTTCCACATACGCACATAAATAAACTGCTACAACTCGACTCGTACCAAGTTACAAATCTTTTAGGAGTACTAAGAATTCACCACCGACATTCTCGTAGTCTGAACTTTATTGGCAACGCCCTTAAGTATATTGCAGGAATCCAAATTTCGATGATCTTCACGAGGTCAGCAAAAAAGAAGAAAGCCTTATAGAAGCAAATGAGCAGCAGATTAAAATAAATTCAGAGTTGCAAATCCAGATCAATAAACTAACGAGAACCATAAACCAACTGTTAGCACACACTAAACAAGCAGAAATAGATACGGCTAATTTATTTAACCTTATCAGTAGCAGAAATAGGGCCGCGATTGCCGAACTAAATAACATAGCTCTTTCCATCACGTTAGGGAAACTTAATATTATAAACCCTGTCCTGTTGGATAGCCAAGAAGTCGAGACTTTTATCAAGACCGAAAAGGGCTTTGCCATTAGCATTAATGATATCATTATTCTAAGCTTGAGATACTGCAAAACAACGAGATTGTCGTTTTTGTAATAAAATATCCAAAAATTAACAATGTATGCAATTAAACAAGAATCTATCCAGTAGTGCACGACAATAGGATTATAATATTAGAAACTAATGTAGTAGCAAAATGTAATAAGCAATACAGGCTAGTTGATAAATGCAAAAAAGCGGTCGCATCGACGTTCTGCGAGGAAATTCAAAGCACGACAAACCCATGTTTACAACAGCTACTAAACAACTACACAGCAACGTGTAGGACTACATCCGCTCACAACATATCGCCCATAGAAATGGTAGACGATGGTGTCGTTATAATTAACAATCGCTACGCGAAAATACAACATGAAGACAAATCTATGATCACAGTAAATGGCACATACCTAATTACATTCAAAAGCAAAGTGACCATTAACGACAGTAGTTACATCAACCACAAGAATGAGTACCAACTGACTCCGAAGGCTCCCATGGCACAGAATATTAAGTTTACCGAGCACATTGCAACGCGTTCGCTACCATATCTAGACGAAGTCGACATACGGAATTTAAGACATATCGCAACACTAAGGTACAAAATTAAAATAAACTCAATCATAATGTTTAGTTCCTTTAGTGGATTGATTATCTCGGCGGTCATAGCGCTGACTATATTTCGCTGGAGGAAGAATCGGCAGAAACGCATTGTTATAAATTTGATAGAGAATAATATTACCAAGGCCCCAGGACAGAACGATGGCGCGCCCGAGGACGGCCGATTTTAGAAGGGGAGAGTTAACACCAGCGAGAGGTTGATAGCCTTCCATAAAGTGCTGACACCCCGCTGGCCAACACGCGCATCCGCTTGCCATTTCGTCACAACAAAATCAACAGTAAGCAATTGACTTCTCAGCGAATTGACTTCTCAACAAATTGGCTCTCGATCAACGAAAAGCTACTTCCACTGAAAAGGTGCTGACGCTCGCTAGTCTGCACGCGCATCCGCTTTGTCAGTTCGGTGCAGCGCAAACAGTAGCATAACGACCAACACGAACCATTTCCCATCAAAAGCGCTGACACCCCATTACGGCTTCAGTTTGAAAACGAGCAACAACAACAATCAACGGACAGCTATTAGTTAGATTTAATATTTAAATAATAAGTTCTGCCCTTGTATTTGGACTTTTTATGTGCGCACTTGTAGTGAACGGCTGCCCTACATAGTAGGGAAATAAATAATAAATTAAAATCGAGTGTCTCGTGTTTTACTTACATGAGTTTCGTTTTCAACGGGCAATAATAAAGGAAAAACGTCAAACTAGTTGGCTGCCAATAGGATTGCCATATGCGGTGATTTCATGAACATTCCGCCCACCTCGTCCTACGTGGGGACGAAGTTATAATGCCTCAGGCCGCCCACCGTCTGCTAGTGGCTTATCGACTGGTAAGATAGAAAGTTTGTTGACGGGTCGTTTGAGCGTGGAAGATTTAGTTTTGACGGTCACCACTCTTACGACGCCATCTGATCCTTCATGGGTGTCCATTATTCTCCCCAAAGGCCACTGCGTTGGGGGTGAACGTTCGTCTCGAATAAGAACAAGCTGCCCAACTTCGATGTCGGGTTTTTGTTGGCGCCACTTGGTTCTGGCTTGGAGTCGTTGAAGATTTTCGTTCGACCATCGTGCCCAGAAGTCATGATACATCTGCGTAAGCTGTTTTCACTTACGTATCATATTAGCGTTAAATGAATATCCTTCCGGGCTGGTTGTAAGAGATCTGCCGACCAAGAAGTGCCCCGGAGTTAACACCGTGAGATCGTCGGGATCATCAGTGAGCGCGGTTAGCGGCCGGGAATTGAGGCAGGCTTCAATTTGTTTTAGTATGGTGTACAGCTCCTCAAAAGTTAAAGTTGCTTGTCCAACTACTCGTTTTAGGTGCAGCTTCATGCTTTTCACTGCAGCCTCCCATATCCCCCCAAAGTTAGGGGCGGCAGGTGGTATGAAATGCCAGTTTATTTCCCGACGAGAAGTGTACGACGCAGCTGCTTGAAGTTGAGCTTTCAAAACTTCTCGTTCGCTGGCCAAAAGTGCATTTGCACCTACGGATGTGGTAACATTATTGCTGTAGACATCTGTGCAAAGGCCTCGAGTAGCAATAAAACGATTTAGAGCAGCTATAATCGCCTCAGTAGTCATATCGCTCACAAGCTCTAGATGGCAAGCTTTCGTAGCGAGGCAAATAATACAGCTATGTACCCCTTATAGGCATGATGTCCTCTGCCCTTTGTCGTGCGTACTTGGAACGGACCTGCGTAATCTATTCCGGTACGGACGAATGGCAATGAGACGTTGCGTCGAATGCTTGGTAGTTGACCCATAAGTTATGTGATTGGTTGACAAGTTTGTCGAAAACATGGCAGACATTTCCTGATGGCACTTTTCACAGCTATACGACCGTTTGTCACCCAGAATAGTAATAAAGTTAAGTGACTATTTTTGGGTAAAATCATGGGGTGTCGCTCGTTAAATGATAAGTTTGCATTTTTGAGCCGCCCACCGACGCGTAATATACGCCCAGGATCGAGTAGGGGGTGCAGGGTGACCATCTTGCTCTTCGTGTCGATGCTCTTGCCCGCGCGCAACTGTTTCAGTTCCAGAGCAAACTCTTCTTGCTGTACTCGCCTTGTCCAAGATTTTAGCGCGGCATAGCGTTCACTCCACAGACAATGTAGCATGGGCTTTTCCAAGTTTGGCGGAAATGAAGCGCTTGCTCCAGGCGGTGACAGCGAGTAGCCTACCAAGATCTGAATACTTCTCGAGGATTGATGACTCCGCCATTGCAGTCTGCGTGTTTAGCAACTTGATGGTTTTCATTTCAGGAAGCAGATGAGGAACCGGTGGGCGTAGCTGCGGCCAACTGTCTTCAGATGATTGTAGCCGCGGTGGCCCGGTCCACCAAAGCGCATGGTTGAGTAGCTGACCTGGCGATATTCCCCTAGATGCACAATCCGGTTGTGCGCACATACCTCGATGTGTCGCTGGATGCGATTTCGTGTATCTGACTGATTCGATTAGCGACGAATTCTTTAAGCTTGCCTGGGTTTGACCGAATCCATCCAAGCGCAGTGGTTGAATCCGACCAGAAAAACGTGTCGACAGTTTGTAACTAAAGAACTCCTTGAACCTTTTTGATGAGTTGGGCAGCCAGCAGTGCTGCAAAAAGCTCGAGTCGTGGTATAGTAACCTTTTTGAGTGGCGCCACCTTAATTTTGGCTATAAGTAACGTGACATGTGCGCCGAGCTCCGAAACCCCCTTTAGGTACACCACCGCGGCATATGCTTGTGTAGATGCATCTGCGAATGCGTGATATTCATACGAGGTGACATTGTTAGCCATTTGTATCCAGCGTGGAACTCTGAGTTTGCTCAAGCTCTCTAGTTCGGCACGAAGCAATTCCCACTCGTTTTGGTTTGATTCAGGAAGCTCTTCATCCCAGCCGATCCCAAGCATCCATAATTGCTGGAATAAAATCTTTCCTCGTATTAGTACTGGAGCTAAGAAGCCCCGCGGGTCGAATAATTTCGCGACGTCTGAAAACAATTGGCGCTTAGTGACTCATCGATCAGCAGGGTTAAGCGTGATTTTGTAGCCGAAGCAGTCGGCACGTGTCATCCAAACGATGCCTAAGGCCTTCGACTCGGTTTCAGTGCTAAGCTCTTATGGGGCCTTATCCCCACGATCTTCAGGATCAATTTCACGCAGCATGTCAGCAGAATTGGAGTTCCATTTTCGGAGTTTGAAACCTCCAGATAGCAAAAGTTGTTGTAGTTCACCTCTGAGTTGATTGGCCTCACCGAGGGTTCCAGCACCGTCGTCTACTTAGAATTCGTTCAATAGTGTGGAACAGGCGTGCGGAAACTGTTGTTGTTCGTCTTTCGCAAGCGTTTGTAAAACCTTCATAGCAAGGAACGGCGCACGATTGGTTCCATAAGTAACCGTTAATAAACGAAAGGTTGTGGTTGCCTCTCGATCGGCGAATCGCCAGACAATTCGTTGCAAGTCGACGTCTTCTCGATGGACGAAAATTTTTCCGGTACATCCCTTCGATGTCGGCTGTAAAGGCAATGCGGTATTTGCGCCAGTTTAAGACGACGGAAGCGAGGTCCTTCTGTAATTTTGGCCCTGTGTGGAGGCAGTCGTTCAAAGACAACCCAGACCCACTTCGCTTTCATGCGTTGAACACAACGCGCAACTTGGTCGTAGTGCTTGACTCCTTTAGCACGCTATGATGTGGAAGGTAGCTGACACGTCCGTTGAGACTATCGTCTTTAACCAGTTCCATATGACCAAGGTTGTAATATTCGGACATGAAGTCGTGATATAGTTTGCGTACTGTGACATCTCGATTTAGGCGGCGTTCCATGGTAATTAATAACGATAGTGCAGCCTCACGTGTTGATGAAAGTTGAGAAAGGCCCGATTCATTTTTGACCGGGAATCGGACCACATACCGACCTGTCTCAGTGCGTTGCGTAGTAGATTCAAAGAACTCGTTGCAAAATATCTCATCTTTTGTTAAGCTTTGTTGCACGGCTACCTCTTCCAGCTCCCAGAATCGCCGAAGAAGTTCATCTAGCTCCAGTCAAGTGCAGTAGCAGTCATAAGCAGCCTTCATTGAGAAGTTACCTGTTTCTGGTAGACTGCCGAAAATAACCCATCCTAACTGCGTTTTTTGTGCGATGCATTATCGTGGCTTAGTCCCCAGCACTCAGAATGACGTCGATAGCTCCTGATATGTTGAATTTAGGATCGGCAAGTTTAAGGTCCCAAAACGGCTTAAATTGTTCCGGATTACAGTTCACAGATGGACTCGGGTTTCCTACGCGTGGCAATACTAGAGCAGTGCAGCGCATTTCGAAAGTGGAATTAGTTGAAGGTAGCGAGAGCTTCACCGACCGTTAGCTCCATTTAATGGAATACTCTGCGGCGACTTCGTTAGTTTAAGCTGAGATACTGCATATTCACTGATAAAGGTGGCTTCAGCTCCGCTATCTAACAAAGCGCGTAGTACCATGGTGTGACGTAAAGATGCGGTGACACTGTCAATCAATGGTGGCAAATTTGTAATTTCGGTTAGATGTGCTTTGATAATAATGTGTTTGTTGTCGAATTTGCGCTCTAGCAAGCACCAGGCGACAGTGGAGTTACTGTCTGTTGTAGCAATGTTATCCAATGAGTTTTTCGCTTCACCAATGAGACTGTCCTTTAAATACTGCAAGCGCTGCGTATCTGACAAGTTTCGATTTTTGATAACGATCGATGTGAATAAATCCTTGAAGAGGTACCAGCGCAAAAACTACCCATCGAAAGGTGGTAGTTTAATTGGTGGAAGGCTATGAACCGGGTACACAGCAGTTGCAGGAATTGTTGGTGGCTCGTTGCCTCAATCATATCGTTCAGATCCCAGTGCAAATCTAAAAAACAGGTAACCTTGGTGTTATTTAGCTTTATTTTC